TTATCTTACAAATAACATTATCAAAGCATTTCATTTCATATACAATCGCAAGAAAAAAACTTGGAATGAGCTTTGCAAGGGCATTTTCTTCAGTCCTGACTTATTTATTCTCTTCTTCGACACAAATATTGTGGGCAATATGTTAGATTCTAACATTTCAACACAATAATTCTATTCAAAAATTCTGGTACCGTTCTGCCAGCCCTCACAGAGCTAGGATGTTCTTCTGCATACGCGACGACATAGTCGGCTGTCTTGTGCAGTCCTTCATGCGGGCCGGTGGGGTGTGTCAAATGCGGCTGCGTTTGGCGCGGTGCCAAAGTCGTTTATTGTATCCTTCGTATTTCTCGTTTTCTACCACTTTTGTCGCATACGCGTTTCATCTGAGAACGGCTTCAACAGTGTGCACACTCATACTGGCTGACACGCCCCACCGGTCCGCAATGATGAGGACTGTATTAGTCCCAATTCATCATCACTCATCGAAAGGCGGAGCAAACTTGCCTGGTGCTTCCTTCCACCACTTCGTTTTGCAACTCTTCTGAGCCCTATATTCTTCCTGAACTCTAGAAACTTTGAAAAGTCCCAATATCCAGGTGGTAGCGGCGTGTGTTATTGCAATATTCTTCAAGAATCCCCTTGCAGCAACCCCAATCGACTACCGCTGTTTTTTGGAATAGCTTTTTAGGCGTACTTCATTTGAGCAAACAAAGTTTCCTTGCGCAAAGCGAAACCTGTAGGCAAAATTGTTACAAAGCGCGCGACCTGGGCTTCTTCCAGATTTTTTTTCCGCAGCTTTATATGTATTTGGGAAAAAGCAGTGACACATATCGGTTGACTCGACAGATCTATATTGTAAACCCTGAAAATAGGACAGCACCTTCTGCTGACAGATAGGAAAATGACTATGTCGTGTATGTACGTAGTAGAAGCCGGCAGCCAGAACTCGAATCCTCACTGGAATTTTCCCACCATCCTGAAGGTCCTTATCATGTTCCGATTCGAAACAATCTTTACTTTATCTTATAACCTTTGTCACACCCACTTTGTTGAGCCATCACCCACTTCATACGCTTGATCGCTCCTCCTGCAGACTACCGCAACTTGTACCCACTCTCTCAGCAAATCTGCGATTATTAATTGAGTGCTGCAGCGGATCAAAGTCAAGAGCCAATGTACCAGATGCACATAACTGAGCTGGCTTAGGGTATTTTCAAATTGATTTTTTTACATTTTCATTAAAAATATGTTCCATGATCCTTTGCACATTTTGCGCTCTACCTAGCCCAGGGGAAGAGCGCCTGGTCAAGCCAGACGGGCCTGCGAATGTGGGTCGGACATAGCGTGGAGCGCCTAGCGACAGCGAGCGATGCGCCTGGTTTGTTTTGATCAAAACTGATACTAACAGTCCTTTTCAGAAGCAATGGCCATATCTTTGAAATTGATATCTGATTCTCGATACAATTCAATTGAAGAGGAGGTGGAAGCCAATAAGGACGTTATCGGATCAAGAGAGCGGTAAGTGCAAGGCCTTAAATTGCTCGATCCCTTTTCCCTTCTTTGTTCTTGTCTTTTACACATATGTGTCGCAAGCATCGCCTTATGACAAGAACATGGGTTGAATGTTTCAGTTGTTGACGTCATGTACCCCATGGTATTGTATCACTTTCCTGCATATTAAGTACTTGTACTCAAATGTGATCTCAATTCATCACTATTTTCCATTGGTTCACCAGTTTGAAAAGAGCTTGATGAGTAACATTTGCAGGGCATGGGAAACAGCGAAGATGCAATTTATCCAACCGCTGTTCCAAAAGTACCACTCGCTCCTTGTCGGCTCAAAACAGCAAACATGCCCGGCGATCACTCTCACGCAGCTGTGATCCCTAGGGATTTATTAGGAATCTATCTCTATTTTATGATAGCGCTGCTATGATCTATACCTGATTCCTCAACATTTGTCACCTAGGTATTTTTTACAGAAACTTGCTCTGTTGTGATTCTATACATCTGCACGCGAATATTTTATTGCGAATTCCTCGTATTCAGCTCGCTCTCTCTTTTTTTTCCACATTTCACACGGGTCTACGAAATAAGATGCTTCATTATATGTTCCTGCTAATAAAACTGCTTGATGGCGATGTAGTTGTCTATGACATTACATTAATGCAGCCTTCAGGATGAAAAATTGAGACGAAATTATTTTTACGGAACGCTGCGTAAAAAGCGATGAAATCATGTGACCCACTGGATTAATCGATGACGTGCTCGCTTAATCTACTTCTCTGCTGTATGAGGTCGTGGTTTCTCTGAATTAAACATGAAATTTTTGATGGGTAATGAATTCCGGTGCGCTGTCAAGAACCCGACGTCAACAACAGTGGGTCAAGTCCAACATCGTTGTTTATAACTTCGTGACACACGGGTGGAAGTCGTACTGTCTCTAAGCATGAAGTATATAACCCAGCAAAGATGTATTGTTCGGCACCACCACATGCATTATGGACTGGTGGTCGATATAAGCTGAGTGCAGGGACTGATAAGATACCATGGCAAGAGTTCTCAAACTTCCTTGAGATCAATCTCCTGGCCGAACTAATTACTATTTAGTCGGGACTCACAATCTGGTGAGATCCCTAATGCCTTGGACAGATAATCTACAAAACGTACTGTAAAGACCAAGCAGATATTCTCCGTCTTACCTCAAGAACACTTCGAAAACTTCTGAAGCAATCAAAACAGTGTGACGGTAAGGCTTGGCCTAGCTCAACTATCGTTATTGCATTGCTGATACAGGGGAGCTGTAGAGGCCTGCATTATACCTAAATTCCAGTGCACAAGGAAGGGGGTCGACGAAGAATCTGACATCTGACTTCTACTTTTTGTGCCCCCCCGTTTCCAAAAAAAAATTAAGGGCACTTTCTAGAGTGGTGAAGTAATGGCTGTTAAAGGCAGGAAGGGAAAATCCACTACTCTTTTCACGAAAAGAGAATTGCATAACAGATGTTCACACTTCTATCTGTCAACAATTAGTGTTGGAGACACAGTCAGACATTCTTGCAGCTGCACTCATCTTTGTGAATACAGTAGGCAGTGAGCCGTTTTGGGGAATGCGCTCCAAGTGATGAAAGGTCCTCGATTGGCGTCGGTCGCTTCTATTTGGAGAGAAGAGTAGACAACTCAGAAAGGATTCAGGCTGCACGTTGTGCGTCATAAAGAAACCATCTGAAGTGCGACTGTGAAGGTGCTATTATGTATTTTACAGTCGGAGGTTTCAAATCGTTCCTACCCTCACCTGTATCACCTGTGCTCCCGTTGATCATCGAGTTCCTCGAGCGGGCGCCAGTAACGTCTCCATTCGTCCCTGCAACGTGCAAGAGTTGCCCAATGAACTCTCTCTGCTCGAGGGACACGATGAACTTCATACCATTCGTTCAGAGCTTTCACGAAGAAGTCTGACCATCGCATAGGCGGTCGTCCAGGCGTTCGCTTGACATCCCGTGGAATCCAGTCGGTGATCGCTCTGGTCTGAAGAGGTGGGCACGGAGCTTGGTGTTCTTCGTCTTCTTCGCTACTCCCTCGATGTTCTTGAAGGCTCCCCAAGCCGCTCGCTTCCTCCTGCTCAGCTCTGGTGCTAAGTCATTCATCATATTGATTTCACGACCCAGGTACACATAGCTAGAGCATTCAGATGCTGGTCGCTCCGTTGACGGGAATGCGTCGTTCCATTGAGCGGGAATGGGGCATCAGAAACCCATCTGTTTCTCATGAACACTGTCTTTGTTAGATTCAGCTGTAGACGATTCTTCCACATGCGCG